CCAATTCGAGTTGCAACCAGAGTCACGGAACAGATTAAATTCGTAACTCGAGGTTCCACTGGATTAATAACTCAGCTGCCTTGGGCTTTGCTTGCTGTTGGCTAAGACTGCCAAAAATATTTAAAACAAAACAAAAAAACCCTGCAGTGTCCAAGGCAGAAATGCAGCAGGAAGGTATTGCTTGCTTTGTGTGAAGTCAGCAAAGCAGAACGCAACACCCTAAGCCCGGCACAATCCCGAGAATGAATAATGATCAAGTCAGCTTCTGAACGCTGATGGCTCTTCAAGTTGGGTGTGTGCGTGATTTCAGGCAGTCAGTTGAAGGAAAAACAGCTCTGTGTTTCCTCCTTTTGGCCCCACCTGGGTTCATGAGTGTCAACCTTACCAGGTAGACCAGACAGGAAACATGACCAGATAAGCTAATTCTACTGCATTGTAAAGCTACATTGCCAGAATCTTGCAAGTCTGAAAGTACAAATCTCCCGCCGTCTCCTTTATCACCCTGAGAAACTAGGGAGGGTCTCTTCTGTGCCTCTTGCCCTGCCCACTCTCCAGCTGAGGGCTATGCCGCCTCTTATCTGACCATTCCCTCGGCAGTGTCTCTTTGCCCTGTCTCTCAAGGTCTTTCCCACATACCATTACAATAAGAAACCAGTCACTTGGTGGCAAAGCCTTTGCTTTGCACGAGAAGTTGAAAATCTGATTCCGGGCATCACCCGAAAATTACAACCACATCTGATGACTGCTGCTGCAAGATCAAACAATCCCTAACTAAGCCAGGGTTAATCAGCACCCTTGTGGAATGCTTTTTAACTTTCTACTTTCTGGTGGAAAGGTGCAACTGGAACTGTTTTTGACCTAAGCAAAGGGATACAGCTTGTTCCTTTGTTCATTTTCCTGCTAAAACATGTCTGGAGCTTTCACGGGGCCCAAAGGCATTCTGGAAAATCCCTGGGACCCGCTTTTGCATCATGCCAGCCTTCCTTTGAAAAAGAAAAACCCAACGATGGGAATTCAACCGAAATTAAAAAGCCAGGCAGGGGTGACCAGGGATTGGGGTGGGGGGCTGCAAAGGGAGATATTAGACTCCCGAAGACTGAGAGACATGCACATAAGAAAGGATATTCTTGGAAATGTGAATAATGCTCTATTTGGATTATGGAAAGAGAGTCACAATGTAACGTTAAAGAGAGAGGTTGAAATGTAATTTTACTTATAACTGCTGTGAAAAATATCAGAAGCCACTTCTTTATACCTTTATATCTTTCCCTTTTTCCCCTACTTTTTTCTATGTTGCACTTAGCTTTTTCCTTCCTTCCTTCCTTCCTTCCTTCCTTCCTTCCTTCCTTCCTTCCTTCCTTCCTTCTCTGTTCTATTTTAGTTTGTATTAGTTCTTTTTGTTGCTGTTAAAATTTTATTTATACATACACACATACATACATACATGTATCAAAATGCTCTATTTGCAAAGCTCCAGTTTCATAGGAGGCAACTTTGAATGAACAGAAGGTGGGGTGGGGGATGAAGCCAGGTGGGGAAGGAACCTGGTGGGTACCAAAGGGGGCAGCTGTAGACATATTGGTACCACGGGCACCACGGGTACCACATCATTGTCCTATGCACACAGACTTTCTGATTTATCCTCAGGACACTGGCTTAAACATTTGTCTTGCTGACGTCTCTGTGCTGCAGGTATTCAGATCCCAGTCAAATCTAGGCCTGTTTCTTGATCTTCTTCCTCTCCTTCCCCCAGGGGGAAAAAGGCTTCTAATCTGAGGTTCTCTTTTTTTTTTCCACTCGGAAGACTTCCTCAAAGGACCCCAGACTATCTGTCGCAACAGTCCTGCAGGCAGTCTGGCCAACTTCTCACAGAAGGTGTTGCAGAACCTGTCCAACGCTCTGACCTGTACAGCAAGGCCATACATAAAGCATCAGAGCAGACCATGAAGGCCGGGGTCATGTAAGAACAGGAGGAGAACTCCAGGGCTGGATCAGACCAAAGGCCCACTCTGTCTATATCATCTGTCACATCGTGGTAGCCAAAGGCATCCTGCGAGGTCGCAAGAAAGGACAGGCAGCTGGTATTTAAGGCAGGGCTTCTATGCTCCAGGAGATGATCAAAAGCCATTATACTAGTCCCAGCTGACAGCTTGATATCTAAACGAGCAGCCATGCCCATCTCTGGTGGCAGCAAATCCATCCATCCATCCATCCATCCATATATAATTATTAAAGATTTTTGAAAAAGGAAGACAAAAACTAATGCAAACTGATATAAAGCAAGAAAAATCAGACCTGATAAAAAGTCCCAAACGGCAGCAAATTCCACAGAATTCACTTAAGGGAATGCAGCCGGCTTTGGCTCACATAGAGATCTTGGCTTTAGACTCAAGGAAGGGTTGGAAGCAACCTTAAGAGGTCATCTAGCCCAACCCTCGACCCAGTCCAGGATCTACTACAGTATCTTTCGCAGAGGACCATCCAACCTCTGTTTGGAGACCTGAAGGCGAACTCACCACTTCGCGTGGCATCCTGTTCCACTGGCTGACAGCACCCATCAAGTTCCTCCTGAGGTCTAGTTTGAACCGACCACCTTGTAGTTAGAACCCACCACTTCTGAAGCAACAGAGAATAAATCCATTCTCTTTTCCATATGACAACCTTTCCGATATTTCAAAACTGGTATCCTATCTCGTTTTAGTTATCTATTCCACAGACTAAACATACCGAGATCCTTGAACTATTCCTCCTGGACCTTCATCTCCAGGTCCCTTATCTCAGTAGGTGCTAAACACCCCCAAGAACGGGTTCAACGAACACGGCTTGGGGTTACAGGCAAAACCCAGCTCCAGGGATGATGGACTCATCGATCCAGTCGATTGCTTTTTCCAGAACAAGCAAATTCTCTACAAATTGGAGAAAGTTGTCCAACATAAATCTTGTTAATGAATCAAGGCTGGAAGGACACTGTTGGCCTCCCGTCTGAATCAGATGCTCGACTTGGTTCTTACGTTTGCTTCCTCTTTCTTGCTGGTAACTCCCATTGCGAAGAAGCCGTGTTCTGACTGCAGCACAGAATTTTATACGGAGAGATGGGAACGAATAACCTCATCGGAGGCCTGTATCTTTACAGCAAGGGGGCCAAGGTCAAAAATCAAATTCATTCCCCCAAGACCCCTCCTTCCACTCCAAACGTGAGGATGCTACAATGAAGAGTCGGCGGTTGGGGTCCCACCTGAAAGGTCTTTAGCATTCCAAGCACACAGATCTAGCTGAAGCACAACGGGAAAGCCGTGTCTTTGGCCCCAGAACGGGTCACCCTAGAATGAAAACCCAGCCATCTCGCAGCAAGGTGGCCCCACACGCCTCCTTGCAAACCAAGGACGCAATGTGAACCTGCACAATAACATCGTTTCCAGCTATTTGTTTAGCTCGGTTTTTCCAAAAAGAGTCATACAGCAAAGACATTGCCGCTGGCCAACCAGCGATGCCTTTTCTGAAGACCTTCAGAAAAGAGCTTTCGGACCTAGCCGGTCACCTTTTCATCCTTGGTCCCTAAGAGGCCGTTTCGACTTCTCCTGAATATTTTCCTCCCTGTTCTTTGCTTTGCTCTTTGGTATTTATTTCCTTTCCTCAAACCTATTAATGCACACACCTCCCTTACAGTACAGTAGATCAGTGTTTCTCAACCTTGGCAACTTTAAGCGGTGTGGACTTCAACTCCCAGAATTCCCCAGCCAGCCTTGCTG